ATTGTACCCATGTGGGGAATCGAACGCGGGTCTTCGGCGTGACGAGCGAACGCATTAACCACTAGGCTACCCCACCGCCTCATATACAAAGTGTCGCAGTTTTACATGTAATCAGCTCAGACATGGCAATCTGACTCAGACATTACCAGTCCTTGTTTCTAATTTTTTAAAATTTTTACCTGTAACTCCAACCATTAACTTAACTGCAATTATGAATTATGTTAATCAGATTCATTTAAGAATATTGTGAATCTTATGACGGAATGGAGGTTATGAGGAGTAAAATATGTTAAAATATGATACTGTGTTGTTTTCATATTTCATACACTATTAAAAAAAGAAACGCATAACCGAGATATCTGTTGCGATAATGTTGTATTTTCAAACATGTATAACTCCTCTACAAATAGGCTATAGTAGATATCAGTTTAGAGGAAGGAATGTCTTTACAACCAAGTGGATAATTTTAGATAACGGTCCTCAGGCCAATCTCTCTCAAACTGTACGGAACGGTTGGCCGGATATCCACCCTGGCTGCCGTGCTCTCACCCGTGGCAGTATGATCGCGCAAATATAGTACCCGGATGTACCGAAATTGGGCTGTAGTGGTAACTCGAGGTCTGCCTGTACGGGGACGGTCATTTGTTATACCCGTTTGGTTGTAACGAGCTGCAAGCAATGATATCGTGCTCAGATTAACATTCAGACGCCTGGCAACGGAAGATTGGTAATCTCCAGCGTGCAATCTTTCAATGGCGATGTTCCGTGTCGCAGTGCCAAGACGTGGCGTAGTAATTTGACCTTGAAACTCCTTCAAAACGAATGCCGATTTCCGAAAGTAATCTGGATTTTTATACCCAGACAGTGCATGCTCTTTGCTGAACAATTTCAACTGGAAGGTGAGGTTTCTGTTGCGTTGTGGCGATGCCTTTTTAATCCTTGTAACAAATCTCATCAAAATCAAAGTTTTCAGGCAAAGTCGAATTTTTACTTGTGCAGTTGTGTAAAATCATGTTATCAACACTTTTGTTACATATTTTGACGATTGTTTGAACACCATAGGTAATTAATAGCTTTAAAAAAATACAAAACGCCTAAGCGTTTCTTTTTTGGGGATAGTATATATGCGAAGTACGAATTTATTGGAACATCATGAGTGAGTGAGTTGGGTTTAACGCTCATTTGAACGACATGCCATGTTTCAGAGCGTGTCAGCTTAACGGTAAGATGAAAGCCAGAGGTCATGCAGATCTCAGACTTTTACCACTTCGGCCAAACCAGCGGGCACGGGTATGGTGCAGAGAAACCTACAGACATAACATTGGCGAACCTCGATTGGACCCAAAAGGGTTTCACAGGTGATCTGGCATGCCCAAGAGACACAACTCTGCGAAAGACTGTGCCACCGGTGTCCCCAAGTGTAAACAAAGAGTCTGGGTCTGATAACCACCGAGTGATAGATATTATGGGTCACATGCATATGACACCAATCATTCACGTGACCGAGACTGACCATCTAGACTTGCTTTATTTGACCTTGAACATTACAGACACGATTGGACGTAAGAGAAAAGGTTATAGCTTATGGAATGAGACAGACTAGTGTCTTGTTATACAACTTTACCTGAACTCACAGCAGTCTAAAGCCAAGCTAACTAATGGTTCTATAACTATCAGGCGTGATTACATATAAAGGAAAATCTAATTTTAATGCTCTCTTTTTTAAAACATAATCAAACGTTGTGTTTTGTACAGGATAAGAAAGTAAATGTTTAACGTTAGCCTTTGCAGCTGAGATATGAAATAGTTCTAATCTATCGATTAAAAACCATACTTATAATTTAATACTTATGAGAACGTTTCCTTTTTTTATCATATTCCAATAGATCGATGCTCATGATGTCAATCTCTCGATTGACTGGCCCAGACTTATTTACAAACCGCCGTCATATAGCTGGAATATTGTTGAGTGCGACGTTAAACAACAAACAAAACTGAAAGCATGATGTTCTTTTCCCTTTGAGACTAAATTGAATAACGAAATATGAACATTTTACGAGAGCATCACTAACCTATGCTTTCGTTCATTGAAATGTATGACCGTTACTGCAGTATCAAGACTTCAGGAGTTACGTCCCCTGATCAGAACAGTCTGCGCATGTGTCCGCAAAACCCCTACACTCTTCATATCAGGGATATGTGATCGCGAAAGCATTTTAGATGCATATTTTCGTAAATGAGCTTCCCAGTGGAAGACTTGGTAAATCTTAAATTTGCAGCTTATTCATTAAATGTTTCGATTATGAGTGCTGTAGAATCCAAATTCCTTGAAACTTATGGTTTGGAAATAAAATGTTGGATTTGTCCAATAACAATAAAGAAATTATACCAGAAGAATCTCTCGTTTGGCATTTATATAATTGGGTGTCTTTTTTTGTTTGTTTTTTGTTGTATTTAATGATATGACCTGCTGTGATCGAATTGTCCCGGGACTGACACCTGATCCATTGTCTTCTCTTACAACCAACATGGGTGGTTGTGTCTAACTCGACATTCCTAAGGAGTTGGTAGATGATTTTACCATATGTGACTTAAGAGCGACAAGACGGGATTGCCTCGTGGATGACGAATCCCGTGAGTTTGGTTTAATGCTTCACTGAACAGGAGCAGGGATTGTAAAACAGACTAAGGATCTCCCGTATATTACCTATAGAAAATCTTGGGACGTGTGGCCATCATTCTTGAACCAAATCCTGTCATTCTGGATCAAACGGAATTGTTACCCGTATATTGCCTATAGAAAATCTAGGGACGTGTGGCCATCATTCTTGACCCAAGTCCTGTCATTCTGAATCAAACGGAATTGTTACCCGTATATTGCCTATAGAAAATCTAGGGACGTGTGGCCATCATTCTTGACCCAAGTCCTGTCATTCTGAATCAAACGGAATTGTTACCCATATATTGCCTATAGAAAATCTAGGGACGTGTGGCCATCATTCTTGACCCAAGTCCTGTCATTATCGATCAAATGGAATTGTTACCCGTATATTACTTAAAGAAAATCTAGGGACGTGTGGCCATTATTTTTTACCCAAGTCCTGTAATTCTGGATCAAACGGAATTGTTACCCGTATATTACCTATAGAAAATCTAGGGACGTGTGGCCATCATTCTTGACCCAAGTCCTGTCATTCTGAATCAAACGGAATTGTTACCCATATATTGCCTATAGAAAATCTAGGGACGTGTGGCCATCATTCTTGACCCAAGTCCTGTCATTCTGAATCAAACGGAATTGTTACCCATATATTGCCTATAGAAAATCTAGGGATGTGTGGCCATCATTCTTGACCCAAGTCCTGTCATTCTGGATCAAACGGGATTGTTACTTGTCTCGACTATAGGCCATGTATAAAAATATTCTTGTTCCTCATTATCGCCCGATCCAAAAATTCGACCCGACCCTAAGATTTTATATACTTTTACATTAGGGAAAACGCAACTTTGACTCTTGAAATGTGCACGAATATTTCACACTCCGTTTTTCCTATCGGAGAAGAGGTGTACATTTCTACAGAAATCAATGGGTTTTGGGACATGAAAAAAAATAGAATGTAAAAATAAAATCCCTCCGCCTGACCCATATCTTTTTGAAAAAAGTGATTGGAAACAAGAATATTTTATTTTATGTGGCCTAACAAGACTAACAATTAGCATTGGCGTTACGTTTTATAGACAAACGTCCTTGTATGTGATGTTTGTTGCCCACACTTATCTTACTTCTCATAGCATAAATGGTGATAAACATAATGAATGGATAACAGGCTTTGCACCGGAATTGCTGAACCGGATTTCATTCTGCATTCAACATGTTATTTTATTTTATTCCATTGTGAGGTGAGAGGTCACTGAACGCAGGTGAGTGAGTGAGTATTCTATACCAATTCGTGTTTGCGCGCGTCATTTTAGTAACAAAGAATAGGGGTCCATATTAAGTCTAGTCAAACTTCTTTGAGAAGTGAACTTCAAAATGATACTACTGCTTGTTTATTTATTATTGTTCTGTGTTTTGTTTAGATTCTTAGATTTCTCATTATACGGCGTTTGCATTCCCTCGCTGACTTGCTTGACTCATGTCAGCGTATCCCAATTGCGTAGAGTGAGGGTCACAGGATTGTCTGGTCCAGACTCGATTATTTACAGACCGCCGTCATATAGCTGGAATAATGCTGAGTGCGGCGTCAAACAAAAAACAAATCAAAACGTTTCCTGAAAAGTGTTCCAGTTCTTGAAAAGAACATGCCCTGTTATCATCCTTGTGACTGAGCAATAAGCTACGTAGAAACTAACTATGCCGGTTTGTGAGGCATGAATATCATTCACCCGACATACAATGCCTCTTGTATGACGAATGGATACACGGAAGTCAATATCAGTGTTTACAGTGGAAAGTACCTAAGCTATATATAGTAACACGCTGTAATACACGGTTGCTGCCCACGTGGGACGATCTCAGTGACAAATCTCATTTCCTGATTTATCTCATCTTGTATGTTTTACCCCATGATCCTTTGACGATATTGTTTGTTTGTTTTTTAAACTCTTTAATCAGCAATATTCCAGATGTATGATAGACGCTTGAACATAATCAGCCTTGTATCAGACAAAGCAGTGTTTTAGTAACGAAATGCGGAAAGTGCTACATCAGGCGAATGTACGGAAGCCTGTTGTGTGCTACGTGTGTGTGTGTGTGTGTGTGTGTGTGTGTGTGTGTGTGTGTGTGTGTGTGTGTGTGTGTGTGTGTATTTATGTGTGGATGTATGTATGTGTGTGTGTGTCTATCTCCTACTATCTCCCTGAAAGAAGCAAACCAATAGATAGAATTCATTCTTTCAATCAAGGTCAAATCTATTGACACGTAAAGTAGGAGCTGGTGGGAATTGTTTTATTGAAATATCAGTAAAAATTAAACAATATAAATAAATACGATTCTTGCGAATCTGAATGCCCATATGTTACAAATACATACATGTGTATCTGATGATAGAAAGCCATATAGCGAAAAGGACATACATATATATGAATGGACATTGAGTAAATCACTGAAAATGTTTAAAGACATCTTCTGCTGCGCTTAGCCTGAGGTATAGCACATTTTAATAGGTTTGTTTGACATCATTTCACAAACATATAATGAAACTGTATACACTCGAAACAAAATATTGTTAAATATAGTATGACCACAATAGTTCACAACAATATCACACTCACATTGACGCAGAATCAAAGGCAAACATTTGTTTACACTCACATAGGAGCCAAGAAGATGAATGAATTATATATATAAACGACTCTGTCGCATACATAGCAATGGATTAATGTAATCCACACATATAACTGTGAATACCACAGATTTGCTGAGACATACTGTCTTGAAAGCGAACCGTTGTACCTTAAAGGTGCTGGAACTCGTGTGACTGTCACAGACAGTCGTAAGACACTCAGAGAAACTACGATTGAGGTTATTTTATTTAAACATGAAAACTTCACGTTGTCGTTAATGTGTCAAACCACCCCAATAACCTCGGTTGTACTTGTCAGCTGATTGTTCAGTTCACATACGGAGTAGTGACAGATGCCAAGAAGACCTCGGCATCTCTGAACACAGTGTAATCACGGGCGTACCTAAAGGCATCTGATATGATGACCTTCCTGGTCACAACGTCATCGGTGATGGTGTAAGTAAGACTTTGTCCATTGGCGTCAGCGGCGATCTTGATCTTGCACAGTGGGCTGTACAGCTTGTGTTGGAAGGCCTCCATGTCGACGGTGTATTCAGTTTCATACTTGTAAATGTACTTCATGAACGTGATAATTGTTGACACGTCATCATAGTCGCTCTGGAGTGCAGCTGTTATCTAAAACAGAAAATGAGGTGGTTGAATTTGACCTGTGGTATAATCGTCATTGTCGTACAGACAATTACTTTGATCATTATGAAATTTTCCTTATTTCATTCATAATTTTATTCATATGCTCTTATGTGTTACTATATCACCAGTGTATTTCATGGTCAGTTGATATTACTGTCGGTCCAGCTAAGGATAAACTACAGACCCGTGAAGATACCGGTTAGAATTTATTTTTAGTAACCCATGCTTGTAAGAAGCGACTAACGTGATCAGGTGGTCAGGCTCGCTGACTTGGTTGACACATGTCATCGTATCCCAATTGTGTATAGGTCGATGCACATGCTGTTGATCACTGGATTGTTTGGTCCAGACTCGATTATTTACAAACCGCCGCCATATAACTGGAATATTGCTGAGTGCGGTGTAAAACTCAACTCACTCACTCAGGCAGTCCATACACATAACGGTCTGGTCTATACTTCAATCCTTTATCGTGGTCCTAGAGGCAATAACCGTATCCACACTCACCGGTTTCACCGTCTCATGTGCCAGAAGCAAGTAAATTCCTATCAACTAACCCAATTACACGACAGTGTTACTATACCTACCGCTGACTGATTGAATAGACTCCTGCTGACGGGAAAATTCTTCTCGTGAATTCCTTTCAGATAGATTGCAAAAAATGGAGAAATCCGAGGCTGAAAGAATAATTGGTTAAAAACTATTTTAAAAGAAAAGCAAAAAGTACTTTTCAATTTTGACATTCAATATAAATAATTATATACGATTTTACATGCTTACGTATTTGAGTATGTATTCAAATATATTACTTTGATGTAAATACTGAGCTAATATGATCCTTATGGAGATATAGATAGTGAAGCACTCACCAATTTCATACAATGTACGTTTAATTAAATACAGTTGAAAAGTTTAAACTTTTAAAGAGAAATGTGAAATTCACAGAAGTTTTAGTGCCTTTTTAAACAAAATGCTAAAGTTTCTTGGACATACTTACAGGGGATGTTTTTGTGTATTTGTCTTTGAGAAGTCCGGCCAAAGTTTTAGCTTCAATTGCTGATGTGACAATATCTCTCATGGCAGCAGGAAGATTACCAGTAACGCTAAGTCCTTTGGAAGATCCTTGGACGGGGTTCGATCCGCCACAGGGATCACTCAGGGACTGGCTCGAGGCGGAATGACAGATGAAAATGGCAGCAGCCAAACCCATAAGAAAACCAGTAACAGGAGGCACCATGATTCTGACAAAATGGAGACAAACATACCGTTACTGTAATGTGAACACTGTTAGATTATGTGAAAAGATATATTATGAAAATCAGTAATGCCACCGGGTGTCCGGGAAAATGTGAACATATCCTGCTCTACCGGCGTCCATCTCTCACTGCAACACTGTTTGTAGCCTAGTGGTTAAGGCGTTCTCTCGTCACGCCGAAGACCCGGGTTCGATTCCCCAAATGGGTACAATGTGTGAAGCCCATTTCTGGTGTTCCCCGCCGTGATATTGCTGGTATATTGCTAAAAGCGACGTAAAGCCATAGTCTCTCATTCACTATTTGTAAAAGAAAGGAATTATTTGGTGCCTTACCGTAAACTAAATGCAATAATAAGCATGACCATTCTTCAGATGAAAATTTTATTAACAATATGTATCTGGATCTATTGACCCAATGTATTATGGACTAAACTGTTCATACTTAGTGTGAAAATATAAGAATACTCACGAAATTCAAGAAAACGAAAACTGGTGACAATATTCAGTCAAATACACAGCAGGAGAACGTGAGACTGACACAGTCCTGCCAATGAGTAGATTATATACTGTCGAGCATGCGTGGGTTAGGGTATTATTACATTAGGAAATCCTCATTTCGTCCCTCAGTATCATTATAACACGACCGATACACAAATATCGTTTTGTATTATACCTGAAATCAACGCCTTTTCTTGTTATCAGCACTTCCTAGGTATTAACGAGAAGAAAAACCAAGTATTCTTGTTATTCATGCTCTCGGTTTCAGCAGCAGCTGAAGCAAAGCATCCAGAATAATGACCGGAGCTGATGATAAGAGCTTCAGGATGTAAATATCAAAATGTGAAAAACTCACACTATAGCATATGTATTGTCCATTGTCAATAATCTTGTTTATCTCTCATTGTTATGACGTAACGCCGCATGTCGCGTACATGTATTTTACAGTGATTGGTTACGGGTTCACTTGTGTTTGTGAGGATCACATTGGGGTAGATACCCGTAAAACGAATCATTGGGGTAATTGGTTGATCGTAAAATTTAAATGACTGGTAGTAGGACTGAACTTTGTCACAGTCCCTTAGCCTCCTTGTCTTACGGGGCGGTGGGGTAGCCGTCATGCGGAAGAGGCGGGTTCGATGCCCCACATGGGTACAATGTGCGATGCCCATTTCCGGTATCCCCGACCTGACCTTGGAATATTGCTAAAAGATGCGTAAAACTAAACTCCCTCATTCACTCATTGTTTACCCTTACATGTCAGCCCTTTCTGCCCTGCCAAGTGTCTGCGACAAGTAATTCAGAGAAACCACGTTACTGCAGGAGATAAAACATACAAACATAAAGAGTCCTCCTTCCTGTTTCATAGGTCATCCAAGTTGAACCTCAGGTGGGCTAGTTAACAAGTGAGATTCACGTATACACACCTGTCCATTGCGGAAGTAGACAACACATCAACATAGAATTGGCTTGAACCAATTGTATAACAAGGTCGTGAAACTATGTGTAACTGTAGATATGTAATGTGCCCAATGTCATGCTTGGTTCAACACCATCGGGGGCGGTGGGGTAGCCAAGTGGTTAAAGCGTTCGCTCGTCCCGCCTAGACCCGGGTTCGATTGCCCACATGTGTACAACGTGCAAAGCTCATTTCTGGTGCCCCCATCATCATATTGCTGCAATATTGCTAAAAGCGGCGTAAACACATACTAACTTACTTCAATACAGACGTTTGATGTATTTTATTTATGATCTGGTTTTCATTGATACATTAAGGTGTCAGAGAGGTTATTCAAAATGATTTGTGGAGCTTTTGGGCAAACAACTGATAATGTTTAAATTTCCATGTATTCAGTTACCATAGTGATAACAACACCTATTAAACACCTAGGATGCGGTGTTTTCGTAAGGAATATCCAAGTGATGTTATTGTTAAAACCAGTTTCAATATTGCTTCATGAACAAAGCAATTAGCTGGGCATGTATGGTTAGAGTTGAAGATGTGTAGAATTAAAACATTTTAAGGGAAAATCCATAATTGCGTATTGTCCTGATGAAGTGGATTTGTATAGAATTCAAACAAATATATTGAAACGTAAGTAGCAAGTTTTACTCAATAAAGAGCCATCATACCTTTGTTTATCATATTAGTTCCGAACAAAAATGGTTAAGAAATATGAATACTTTGTGTTCATGTGACCAATTTTATTCCAAAATATTTTCTTGTCGAACAGTCGTAAAAAGCATAGAGACAAAAATACCAACAGATGAGTGATAAATAGCTGTCATACATAGTTCACAATCATCTGAATCAGACAATCCAGTGATTAATGCTATGGGCAACGTCAAAAACGTTGGGTATATCTGGAGTTCTATTCCAACAAGGAATCTCCACGGGTTAGTTGACAATGCATCAACCCACACAGCCGAAACTATATGTAAAGTACATAAATAAAATTATAAATGTAAAAATGTGAATATGAATATTTTTCAGTTCCCTAAGACAACTGTAAAGTTCTCATTGTCTGGGAGGAGAAGGAAGTCAGTCTGCTCCTGTGTGTGAGACGATTTGCTGTACAGAGTTGTGTCCCTTGAGCACGACAGAATCCTATGATCGTGGATTCGACTCCAGGTCCCATTTGTTTCTAGGTTCTTCAGCACCATACCCAAGTTGATGGTTCCACCAAACTGGTATACATCTGAGACCTGCCTTGCTTCGGGATTCCTCCCACATTAAGCAGACACGCAGTGGTATCACTGGAATACTGTTAAAAGCAGCGTTGTGCGCAACTCAGTGTGGTTTTATGACTATAGATTAGATTAAATTAACATACACAATTGGTGCTGTTCAAGTAGGAAGCAGCATCCCTGAAGATGATGAAATCTCTCCTGTGCCTTTGGCTTGTTTTAGTGACAGTAAATGGATATTCAGTCAGATTCATGTTTGCCAGAATGGATGTAGAATTGGAACATGTCTGATTGTGGATCCTGCAGAGGAGATGCTTGAGCTTGTTCCTGACCTCCATCATGTCGTTCTTGTAGTCCTGGCTGACTTCTTGCTGGTAGGCGACATCCACATAGATGGCTATTACAGATATGTCCTCGTAGTATTGGTCCAGCTGTAAACAGGAATAGGTTTATTATTTCTGACATCATCATCATCATCATCATCATCATCATCATCATCATCATCATCATCATTATCATCAACAACATCATTATCATCATCATCATCATCATCCGTCGTCATCATCATCATCATCATCATCAACAACAACATATCATCATCATCATCATCAACAGCATCATCATCATCATCATCATCATCATCATCGTCATCATCATCATCATCATCATCATCATCATCATCAACAGCATGAGTAACAGCATTAACGCATCTTCACAGGTGTCGCGATCATCAGTGATGGCATGGTGGGTTCAAATATCAATCTCTTAAATTCAGATCTTTTACTCCTTCGCAATATATCTCTGGGCGAAGATCTGATAACACCATGGGCAAACTCTGACGGCCTAGTCCAAGTAAAATGTGTGTGGATTCAGGAACCACTGACATGACAGCTATACATAAAAAACTCATCTTTACATCATATTTTCAGAAAATCCACGAAAACACGAATATAACACAAGAGAGATGGTAAAACAGTAAAGTATAATAATATATTATATTTTACTGCAATTGTGATTGATATACTTACGGTTCTATTTTGTGCATTTGGAAACTGGTATTCATACAAATTCTCACCAGCCAAGTAAGCCCTATATTTATCAGAGATTCGAATCTGTAAAAAAAAATGAAAATTTGCATTTATTCATTTATATCATACTAAACAAATTGACAATATTCTACTCCAAGCTAAGACTGCTATGAACATAATGATATTATTCTATTTCTTCTGATTAGTGAGTGAATGGTTCGGACATACCCAGAAACATAAACAAGACGAACAGGAAACCACAGTCATAGGTTCCAGGCGTGTTCAAGGGACGCAACCCTGTACAGCAAATTGCTGCACCTTATACGACTGGTCATTCGTGCCCCGTTAGACGGAGCCGACTGACTTCACTTCAGAGGAAATACTTATAAGAAGCTACAAGCCTATTGGTTACACACGCTCATGATATGGCCTGTTTTCTCTTAAAATGTACAAATTAACTCATCAAAGGAGTGAGTGAGTGAGTTTAGTTTTATGCCGCTCCTAGCAATATTCCAGCAATATCACGGCGGGTGACACCAGAAATGGGCTTCACACATTGTACCCATGTGTGGAATCGAAGTCACAAGCCACCAGGCTACTCCACCGCATCTCCTCTGCAGCAAAGATTAAAGCGTCTGCACTGATTAATATTATTTGTATAAAAGTTGTAACAATGCTATTTCGACTAAAACCAATCACAATCCTTTACTCAGTTTGGTATATTTTTAAAATATAATCTGTATATTTCAATACAAGAAACCAGTGATCGATATTAAGCGCAACATCAAATCAGCTTGAGGTCCTCTGACATGGAAATCACCCAAGCTGACCACTCTGTCCATCAAGTCGCGTCGCGTCTTACAACGTCTTTACTGGACCTATCCTAACATATAGATTAGATTAAATTAACATACACTGTTGGTGCTGTTCAAGTAGGAAGCAGCATCCCTGAAGATGATGAAATCTCTCCTGTGTCTTTGGCTTGTTTTAGTGACAGTAAATGGATATTCAGTCCGATTCATGTTTGCCAGAATGGATGTAGAATTGGAACATGTCTGATTGTGGATCCTGCAGAGGAGATGCTTGAGCTTGTTCCTGACCTCCATCATGTCGTTCTTGTAGTCCTGGCTGACTTCTTGCTGGTAGGCGACATCCACATAGATGGCTATTACAGATATGTCCTCGTAGTATTGGTCCAGCTGTAAACAGGAATAGGTTTATTATTTCTGACATTATCATCATCATCATCATCATCATCATCTTCTTCTTCTTCTTCTTCTTCATCATCAGCAACATCATTATCAACAATAACATCATTATCATCATCATCATCATCACCGTCGTCATCATCATCATCATCATCATCAACAACAACATCATCATCATCATCATCATCATCATCATCATCATCATCATCCGTCATCGTCATCATCATCATCATCATCATCATCATCATCATCATCAACAACAACAGCATGAGTAACAGCATTAACGCATCTTCACAGGTGTCGCGATCATCAGTGATGGCATGGTGGGTTCAAATATCAATCTCTTAAATTCAGATCTTTTACTCCTTCGCAATATATCTCTGGGCGAAGATCTGATAACACCATGGGCAAACTCTGACGGCCTAGTCCAAGTAAAATGTGTGTGGATTCAGGAACCACTGACATGACAGCTATACATAAAAAACTCATCTTTACATCATATTTTCAGAACATCCACGAAAACACGAATATAACACAAGAGAGATGGTAAAACAGTAAAGTATAATATATTTTCCTGCAATTGTGATTGATATAC